GCCTAAGGTCCCGAGGAGCCTTACTCTGGGCCAAAGGTGCTGAAGAGAATTGTTGTAGGCCCAAGGTCCAGAGGAGCTTTACCTTGGGCCCAAGGTCTGAGGTAAGCCCACGAAGCTAATGGACTGGAAAATCCTCTGTTGCAGAAGAGAGACCTAGGTCGTCCGACTCCTATAAAAGGACGACCTAGGTCAAGGTAAGACAGACATTCTGACCACTCCAAACTCTCTCTTCTATTCATTCCGCAGCCACCACCTCAAAAAACCTAAAACCGACTCTAACTTAAGCATCGGAGGATCTACCCCTGGGGACAACCCCGGGGTTCTGTTTTGCAGGCGTCGGAGTAAAGAAGACGAGTCCAAGAAGACGTCGGAGCATCAATCGTCACCACGTGTTCTCTGACTAACGTCAGGTAATTCTTGTATCATCAATAACAATTTCCAACTTCTAACATAATAGTAATAAATTCTAATTTATAACATAATCAATTCTAATCTATAATACAACAATTTCTAACCTCTAACAAAATAGCAATAAATTCTAACTCAAAAGACAATAAATTCTAATCTATAATACAATAATTTCTAACCTCTAATATATTAGTTATAAATTCTAATTTATAAGATAATCAATTCTGATATATAACATAATAATTTATACTAATATATTTTTTTCAAACAAGTATCATTTCTAATTTATAATAATATAACTTATACTAATTATACTAATATCATTTTTTTAACTGTATATGTTGTTAGTTCATTTTATCCTCAACAAGTGCATAACAAACATAACCCGAAATTAACGTATAAACACGGCCGAATATCATAATATATCAATAACATAATGATTGTCATCAATCACAAACATAATAAACCATAAACCCTAAACCCTAAACCCTAAACCCCTAAACCCTAAACCCCTAAACCCTAAACCCTATATGTTAATTTCGGGTTATGTTTGTTATGCACTTGTTGATGATAAAATGAACTAACAACATATACAGTTAAAAAATGATATTAGTATAATTAAAATAAGTTATATTATAAATCAGAAATGATACTTGTTTGAAAAAAATATATTAGTATAAATTTTTTTGTTATATATTAGAATTGATTATCTTAGAATTTATTACTAATATGTTAGAAGTTAGAAATTATTGTATTATAGATTAGAATTTATTGTCTTATGAATTAGAATTTATTGTTATGAATTAGAATTTATTGCTATTTTGTTAGAGGTTAGAAATTATTGTATTATAGATTAAAACTGATTATGTTATAAATTATAATTTATTACTATTATGTTAGAAGTTGGATATTATATGGTATAGTTTAGAATAGATAGTCTTATGAAATAATATTTAATACTACTATGTTAGAAATTAGAAATTATTATGGTATAGATTATTACTATTATAAATTAGAATTTATTACTATTTTGTTAGAACGCTTTTCCTACTGTAATATTCACACGAATCATATAACTCTGAGAAAAGTGTCAAACAATCTCTTGTCATAAAATTCGGTCAAATCATATTGAATTAATCGGTCTCAATGAATTACTCTAACAAAATCCGATATTTTTCGTTCAATTTGTTATTTAAATTGGTATTTATGAATTTCAAATTTAAGTCAAAATATTATTTTGTATTTTAATATTTATTACCGAGTTGAAAAGGAGCGGATTTAAGAAAAAAAGAGAACTACAATTTTTAATAGCATCACTCATTAGTATTTTATTAGAGATAATTAGTATTATGTTATATAACATAATAATAAATGAGTTCTAACATAATAATAATAAAATTCTATAAGATAATTAGTTCTAATTTATACTTTAAAAATTTTTAAATTATAACTATGACATATTAAATTCTAATTTATAACATAAATCTAAATTCTAATATAATGTATATAATTAAAATTTTGAAAAAAAAAA